GTGGACAACGATGCCGATCTGGCCAAAGCGGTCATGTCCGAAGAGGATCTCACTCAGCAAATCTATGCGGTGGATGATGTCGAGACTGGCACAATTTGCAACAAATCATGGTGCCCATGCTGCCAGAATTGCCCATCGACTTCGCCGAAACCTTGGGCATCCCCGCAAAGAAGTCCTGCTGAAGTTGCTTGATGGTAAGCAGGTGAGTGAGAAAGTCAAGGAAGCCATTGAGTCCTTGAACTGCCCTCATTGCCAACACTACGGCATCAAGAAAGGTGTGTCTCCTGCCTCAGTTGACCGAGCTGAGAACTTCAATCAAGTCGTTCAAGCTGATGTCACGTGGGTTGAGTTGAGCAAGAAGAAACGTGTGGCTATCTTGTCTATGGTTGATGAATGCACTTGATACATGGCTGCCCACATTGTGTCTGATGAGAAGTCCCCATCTTTGATCAAAGCATTGGAATGTTCCTGGATTAGGTTCCATGGTCCTATGCAACAACTGAAAGTTGATGAGTATGCTGGTTGGGAATCCGATGCATTTGCAACATGGGCTGAAAACCGCGACATTGAGCTCAAGATCTCACCTGGCCAAGTTCACGCTCGAACTAGTGTTGTTGAGCGCCACCATCAACTTGTGAGGCGTGCAGTCCAAATCTATATGGATGACAATGAGACCTCAGGTGTTGAAGCAGTGCATGAAGCTCTGACGTAGGTGGTTCCTTCCCTGAACGAGCACATGTTTGTGAATGGCCTCACTCCCACACAACTTGCAATGGGAAGGCAACCAGCCATCCCTGGTTTGATGTCCGAAGAGCGCACAAAGCCTCCACAGCTTTCCGAAGGCCAACACCTGCAGGAGATCCTAAAGTGTAGATCCCAAGCTCAACAAGCACGTGCCAAGGCTGATGTTGATGTCAGGTTGAGAAGAGCCATGTTGAAGCAGTATCGACGGTGTCTATACTGGCGTGAAGCCACCGACAAATTCCACACAATCAAGTGGAAGGGTCCTGCAGTTGTGGTTGCTGTTCAACTTGACCCGACACTGGACATGTCGACACTTGTTGGCTTGCTCATGGAGCTGTGCTGATCTGAGCTGGAAAACACCATGTGAAACGTTTGGTGGATGCAGAAGGCCGCACAGAATTTTCAATTTCAGCCATGCGTGAGGTGCGCCAAAGACGCATTGTCCGAATGATCGACTTCCACAAGACCAACAAAAGATCCATCGATGAGTTGGATGAGGATGATGCGGATCTTGACTCAGATGTGAAGCATCGAAAGCATGGTGAACCACCGCATCAACTACAGCTCCATGGTCCAGCTCAACAAGAATCTCCTGAACCAGTTGCGAATGATGCTGCAACTGAGCCTAATGCTGAAGTTCTTGACAGCCCAGCCGATGCTGGTGAGTTCCAAGATGCAATAGATCAAATGGATCGTCAAATTGATCAACTTGAAAAACCTCCAGACTCTCCATTCTCCTGTGCTCCAACAACTCCTGCGGAAACTGTGATTGAAGAGAATGACGAGCCCAATGCCAATGCCAATATCGCCAGCAATGATGATGCCAATGCAAACACCACTGCAACTCTGCCAGCCAACATGCCAGCAGATACGGATCTGCCGATCTGCCCCCTGTGCCACCCAGCGATGGTGAATCAAATCAAGATGAAATGGATGGTCCCTGCACGGCAGTTAACACTTTGCCTGCCGGCAGGGAAATTCCGCACGAGGCGGGTGGCAGCCAGTCACTCACTGGACGCAGCGGTCCGTCAGATGCAGCAGTTAACACTGTGCCTGCTAGCCCTGATGATGACTTCAGACGCAGACGGTGCCGAATAGATCAGGGGGAGATGGCATGGCTCAGGAACTTCCAAGGCCAAAGACGGTCCTTGGAAGAACCCAATGAAACTCCTGAGCAAAAGAGCCATTGAGATTGGTTTTTACAGCATGAATGGCGAGCACAACAAGTTCACTGCAGAGATGCTGCCTGAGGGATGGACATACGATGATGCCTCAAACACCTTCATTTAAATTTGGGTGAAACCAAAGACTTTTGGTCAGTTGAGGACGGATTCTTGGTCCGAAACCACGTTGTTGCCCGCAATGATTTATGGAGACCAACAGCTGAAGCCATCAAGAATGTCCCCATTAAGTTGGGTGACCTGCAGTCCTACAAGATCACCTTGCGTGATGGTGCTGCCGCTATGATGGTTGACACAGTCGCTGCTGCTGAGGGCAGAATTTCCAATGATGCCTTCTTCGGCAAAACCTTGTTTCCTCGCAACAAGGATGCTGCTTTGAAGCTCAAGATGCCATACATCAACCCAAAGAAGAAGATCCATAAGTCCAATGGATGGCTGCAACTCGCCCTTTGAAGAGAAAGAAAGACAACGAGGCTGATTTGAAAGAATCCCCGCATTACCGTTGAAGACCGCCTCACCTTCACGACTGCAAAGAAGGCCGAGCTGCAATCAATTTTTGAAAATGGAGTATGGCAACTTGAACTTGAACCTGAAAAGGCGTCCGAAGGCCGAGTTCTCAAAGCACGTTTTGTCCTTAAGTGGGCTGATGATGGAAAAGAAAGCGCAAAAGCAAAAGCACGTTTGGTGCTGCAAGGGTACTCTGACCCTGACATGCGGTCTGGTAGTTTGGAAACAAGCCCTCCAACTGTCCACAGAACTTCCAGACAAGTGCTCCTTCTATTGGTGTTTTGGAAGAATGGGAATTCCAATGTGCCGATGTGGCCACCCTTTTTGCAAGGGGACAACCAATCCCGCGAGCTTTGGTGCCGTCTTCCCCGAGATGCATGCAACCTGTTGGACATCAAGCCAAACTCCCTGATGCGCTTGTTGAAACCAATATATGGCCAGGCAGATGCTCCAAGAGCCTGGTACCAGGTAGCAAAAAGAAGGCTGGAAGAAGTAGGATTCTCCCAACACAAGCTCGATGGTTGTCTTTTCAGATTGTTTGGCTGCTGCTTGGTAGGACTTCATGTCGACGACGTGCTGATCAGTGGCGATCCTCAAAGTGAATGCTACTTGGATGCCAAGAAGTTGTTACGCCAAAACTTCAACTTCAAGCACTGGACTCACATCAACGAGCGTGAGAAGTTAGACTTCTGCGGTTTGCCCACTGGTGAAAACATCCTATGGTTACCAACGTGGACAGCCTGAATACTTCAGAGGGATCAAGCCCATCACCATTGACCCAAAGCGTCGTGACACTGCAATGGCCTCCCAGAATGAGATCAGCGCCTTGCGCGCAGTGCTTGGAGCTCTCCAATGGCGAAGTACGCAAACGTCACCGCAACTGGGTGCCACAGTGTCCCCCCTCAGTGGTCAAATCACAGCTGCAACAACTGAAGACTTGCGTGATGCAAACAAAGCCGTGAAGTTTGCCAAAATGAACAATGATGTTGGACTCCAATTTCACCCACTGGATCAAATTTCAGATATGGTTTGGTTGCAATGAGCGACGCCTCATGGGGAATCAGACGTGAAGGCCACAGCCAAGGCGGATACCTTCACATGCTGGCTAAAAAAGAGATTTTAGATGGTCAAGCCACCAACTACATCATTTTGGATTGGCGAAGTTTTCGTTTGCCCCGCGCCTCCAGAAGCTCATTGAATGCAGAGTCCCAGCATGTGCTGCTGCGATGGACAGTTTGGAATATGATTCAAGGTTGCCTGAATGCTGACTACACCTTGCAATCTCCGGGTAAATGGGTGATCAACAAACCTGCCCTGGTTGTGGATGCCAAAGCTCTGTACGATTCAATTCGTGCTGAAGTTCCCCGACTCTCTGGTGACAAAAGAACCGGAATTGACATGATCATTGCGAAAGAAAAGATTCAAGTGCCAAGCCTTGCTGCGATGGGTTTCAAGTGAGGCGCAATTTGCTGATGGAATGACGAAACCATCCGCAAGACAGTTGCTCACAGACCGCCTTTGCACACACATGTTCAAACTGCAAGCATATGAAAGTTTCATAGCTGCCAAGAAGAAGACGCAGCAACAACGTGAAGCCAATGCCCGCAAGTTTGCCCTTTCAAAAGCTGCTAGCAAGGTAGGTGGTTTGGCCCATTTGGTTTTCATTTCACAGATCATGCCTGCCACCGCGACCTCCATGGATGATGCTTCAGAAGTTCTCGAGATGCTGCGATTTTTGGTGATGATTGATGATGTTGATTTCCTTTTTCATTGGATGTTTTTGCATGTGGATGTTCATGGACTACCAATGTCCTCAACCGTGCTGAGCCGAAGCGTCGAATGCCAAAACGACGCGACCAAGAAGCTCAATGGGAAATCACCTACGAGGAGATGAGTCACATGCACTACGCCCTACACTGCGAGAAGGAAGACAAACAAAGAGCCATCGAAAGCTATGAGCGTGAACTGGAAACTCTGCAGAGCTATGCCCAAGTGATGAAGGATACAAGCGAGACTGACAAGCAAGATGCAGAAAGGTTTCGTGCAGATCTCAAGAAGGTCAAATTGGATTTGGAAGAGAACGAGCTCCCCCTTATCGAAAGCAAACAACAATGTGAGAACCCGAACGCAAAAACTATGAACTGCAGGATTCTCTGGATCGGGCTAACGCGGCCAACAACAACATGAATGAGTGGTATCGCCACGAGCTGGAGTTCCACTCCGAGTTCTACGCTAACCGCCAAGCCACCAGGTTCCACCTGTTCAACGACTGAGAGTTGCTGATGCGTGCAAGACACATTGTCATGCACAAGTGCTCAACTTGCGTGGATGGCAGAATCCGTGAAAGCTCTGAGCTGGATCATTATCAACAAGGATACAGGTGATGGTCGACAGGTTCTCAAGTGAACCGCCTCTGGTTTTCAATGTCTACGTTTGCTGTGGATAGCACCGGAAACCAAAAAGTTGCACCGCAGCACCCAGCGCCTTCTCGTTTTAGCGCTTGGCTTGTGCCCCGTGGGCTTCGGTAAAAGTGAAGACTGGTGATTGATGTCCAACTGTGTCCAACGCTCATGAACTGCAGTCAAGAGAAAGTGAATGCTCAACATGTTCACAGATTCCCACTACTTTATGTTGACTGCAGTCTTGGAAATTGAGCTCTCCGCTTTCCAAAAATTTGTACAATGGCAAGCGGTTTCCAAAACGTTTCGTTAGACAATCAACCAACATTTGCTCGTGCCTGACCCAACGAATTTCAGTTGATGTCTCTGCAAGAGATTGTCTAATTACCTGCATTTCGATGGCCGTTCTTCGGTCATCCGTGGTGCCTACTGTGCTCTTTGCTAAATGGTCGTACAAAGACTTAGCGTCCACCAAACACAGTCCCTGTTTCAGGCTGGGGTGAATGTCCTCTTTGGTGATGGCTTCCAAGCGTCTCTGTTTGGCGTTGCGTTCCCATGTTTTCAAATCAAACTTCGGATCACTGATTTCGTTGTATACAGTGATACTCCAAGACAACTCTTGAAGACCCTTTGCCAGACTTTGGGTTTCTGCAGCTAATGTCGAACTGACTACTCGATGTATTTTGCCTGATCTCCAGTAAAGCAAATTTCCTCTCGCCCTACCTGTAGCTGCCAGCTTCTTTTCATAGCACAGAATTCCAAAACCACCTTGAGAGCTTCCATTGCCTGCATTCGCAAACGCTGCGTCGGTGATGACGCCAAAGCACATCTCTTCTTCTGGAATGGGCTGGATCTTCAGTGACATTCCTGAATTTGCCTTTGTCTCTTTGATGATCTTGTTCAGATCGACTATGTCCTGAATCTTCAGCCTATTGAGACTGCCCGCGAGCAGTGATGCGCCCGCTGCGCAATCTGGCCTTCCCTCTTTTGCTGCCCAGGTTAGTGCACCCACTGCTGCTCTGGTATCTGCTATCTCCTTGTCTGTTGCTGCTGCTTCCTTGTCTTTGCATCTTCCCTTTTCTAACTCCACTTCTTGCAATCTTTCTGTCACAAACTTGGTCATGTCGATCTCGTAGCCTCCTCCTGGGAGACATTTGATTCGGCGACCGTTGAAAGATGCTCCTTCAGCTTCTTCTGCCAGCTGAACGAATTTTCCAAAGTGGAATCTCTGCTGCAGCTCTTTGAGTTTACCATCATGTTGTTCATTTCCAAAGCATAGCAAATCGTCTACTTCGACGACAACGATTCCACATAGCTCCTCAGCGCCAGAGCTTCCAGTTGCAAAGTATTTGAATGTGCATGGATCCATCTCTGATTGCTGATATCCTAAGTCTATCAGCACCTTCTTCAAAGATTTCCTCCAGTGAGCAGGTGCATCTCCAAGACCGTATGCTCCTGCCAGCACTTCCAGTATTTGCCACCTTGTCATGCCTGGCAAACCCTTGTTTGCTGCTATCTGCATTGCGATGGATATGACTGCTGTGGTAACTGTTGGTGCATATCTGCTGAGTTCTAGTAAGTCTGGGTCTTTGTCACCTCTGATGCACCATCTGCTCTTTCTGCTTGGAGCTGTTCCAGGTTGTTCCGACGGCTTCCATCTTCGAACGATCCTGGACGGCAATATCCGGCTGGATTTGCCTGTTTCCTTGAGCTGTCGGGTTATCTCCTCTGATTCCTCTTCAGAGAGGACTCTCACTGCTCCTGTGGCTAGCACCTTCTTCCATTCTTCTTCGTCTGCTTTCTTCCACTCTGGCCATTCTTCTTGGCTGATGTCTTCTTCTTTCAATTCATTGCTCCCCTTCTTGACCATCCAGACCTTCATGTCTTCGATGGTGGCTTTCTTCTTGAGCTTGAACTCCGTGAAGCCTGTCCATTGTCGCTGGACACCTTCTTCAGACTTCACCTTTCTGGAGTCTGCTCTCCAATCGCCTGTATGTTTGACCCTGCTCCCGTCTTCAAAGAATTTGACTGTTTTTCGGTGAGAGGTCAGTAGCTTCAGCTTAGCGGGGCATGCTTGTTCATGTGGCTTGTAGTTGTGGCTTCTTGCTTCTCGGTGGATTCTTGTGACCGTTCTTCTTTGCCAATCCACCTCCCATTCATCCTGGCAGTCTTCTTCTTGGTCTTCTTCTGGCTCCTCACTCTCGAGGGCCGTCTTCAGGTAGAACTCCTCTCTAGTTCTACTCCAGCACATCCTTGATCTATCCCACCATTCTTCCTGTTCCTGCTCTTGCTGCGTGGCGAGTGTTGTGTTGTATGGCTGATACCTCATCCTCTCCAGCCTCCTTCTGGTGGGCTCAAAGCTTGCTGGGCCTTGTGTTCTGCTGATAGTGCCATCCAGCTGTTCATTGTTGATAACTGCTCTTGTAGCGGCATCCAACATTTCAGTGGGCATTGGAACCCCTGCAGCTGCTGGGCTCCTTTCCTGATGTTGCGTGTTGGTGGGTGATAACTCCTCGCCTGCTGGTGCTCCCTCACTGGGTTCATGTTGTGATGAGCTGCTGCTGCTGCTTGTTGAGCTGGAATTGCTTGGTGCTGGCTGGCTTGCTTGCTCGCTGCCTTCTGATTCTTCAATCCTTCTCCTGTGTGTGGGTGGGCCATCCTCATCTTCCTCTTCCGGGGGAAACTCCCAGTTGGAGATATCCTTGAATCCCCTCTTGCTATCCTTGCGCCGGAGTGTTTCTTTGAGCTCCTGATATTCTTCCTTCAGGAGTCCTAGCGCAGTCTCTTCCTCTGAGGTTGCTCTTCTTACCTGCTCCAGGGCGCATTTCCATAGTTCGCCCCTCATCGAGATCCAGGCGTTTCTTCCTTCCGTCATGATGACCGTCCCAGGACCGCACCACATGGGCTCGGGTGCTCACCCTGGCGTCACTTCTTCTTGGCAATGGCTTGCGGTACACATAGACTACTTCTCCTGGAAGTAAGGTGCAAGTTGCCCTTCCTCTTGCCCTTGATGCTTTCTTCACGCTCTCTTCAGCGCTGTACCGTGCAAATGCTTCCATTGCTTTTTCTCGGATCTCCATGCTTCGTTGCATGTCTTTTGAGGCGGCGCTTCTAAACATCGCTTCATCGATGTCGTCGTCAGACATGAGACTTCCTGGGATCCTCACATTCTGTCCCAGTTGTCTTTGTGCTGGTGAGTATCCTGACCTATTGAACATCCTATTCTTGGTGGCTTCTAGATGATGAAGGCATTGCATCCATTCATCTTCTGAGATCGGCACTGTTTCATCGATCATCTTCCTCAACATTGCTTTCGCCACTCCTCCATGCCGCTCTGTCCTTCCATTCTGCCAAGGAGCGCGGGCTCCTATTGTCCTGATGAGGGCTCCGTGCTCACCGCCCTTTCTGGCGAACTCTCCCAAAAATTCCCTTCCTTGATCCACCACCAGGATTTTGGGCATTCCAAAAATCCGCACCCATCCCCTCATGAATGCTGTCCAGGCTTTTTCTGCTGTGAGTCCTTGCACTGGTTCTAGAACTTGGAAGCAAGTTCCCCAGTCGACTATGTTCAGCACTGGAACCTGTTGTGTGGGGTCTGTCCACGGCATGTAGACGATGTCTACGCCGATGGTTTGGTTTGCTTCGTATGCCTTGGGAATGCTTGTGGGTCTTGCTGGCTTGGGTTTTTGGTGCTCTTTGCATAGCTCGCATGTGAACTCCTTCTTCACATATCTTACAACTTCGTGGCGAGCTCGGGCCATCCTCAATGCCCTGGCAAACGCTTCAGTGGATGGATGTCCCATGTTCTTGTGGAGCTTCTCCACCATCTTCTTTTCTTTGGGAGATAGAGCGCATGGAACCTCCTCCTCGTTCTCATCTGAGCCGCGCTCCACCTCCTCTTCTGCTGGTGATGCTATCATCCGACGCACTCCATCGCCGCCGGCTGCTTCAACTTCTTCGTCTAGTGCATCCTCCAGGTCTCCTTCATCATCGTCTTCCTCCATGAACACCATAATGCTTTGCTGTGTTTGCTCCATGTGTTCTCTTGCTCCTTGTATCATTGCTTTGCACAGCCTTGGAGGATACCTCTCGGCCAGCTTGGCTCTTCCTTCCATTAGGCTTTGGTGTTCATGGTCTCCTCGGCATTTTCTTGCCAGCCTTTTGCGAATGGCTTCACTGTTGACCATGAATCGCGTAGGCTTTTTGTTCAGAGCTTCGCCTTCCTTCACCCTTAGGCCAAATTCAGATTGGTCAGCCTCGACCGTCTCCACTCCTGGAAGACTCATACATCTTGTGAGAGCCGGCTCCTTCCAGCTTCTGGCCATCTTTGGGTGTTCGAATATGGCTATCTTGCCCCTTCTTACCTGCCATTCGTACAGTCTGGCTGCAAACTCTAGGTGTACCAGGCCTTCTTGTATCATCAAAACTGCCCGACTCTTGCCCATGCGCCCTATGTTGAGCTCCTGCAGGATTGAGAATGGGCCACATGGTGGGCTCAGCACCAGCACGTCGGGGTCTTCCTCCTCCAACTTCCTGAAGCACCTCTCCCGGTCGCTTCGCTGGTTGAAGTCATAGCCTGTCTTGATATCGTATGCTCCACCTGTGCTGTGTCCTTGCTTGTGGGCTTCTGCCGTCACTCTTGGCTCTGAGTACACCTCTGCAAATTTAGGCGATTGCATAGCCCTGACAAGGCGCTTCCGGCACCCTTTCTTGAGCACGCCGTCTACTTCATCCAGATAGTCTTCTTCTGGAAGTTCTTTCATCACTTCCACATATATCTCCTCTCCCGGAGGCATTTGTCCTGGCAAAATGCCTGGCTCATACCTTGCTTGGCTTCCTGTCTCCTTCCTCCAGTAGCCTTGTGCTACCTTCCTGTCTGCTGGCTTCATCTCTTGCGTCCTGAGCTGAAGCTGTGCTGCGGCATTGAGCTGTGCTTGATTCCGGATGGGACACATCCACGGGGCGTCGTCCCACCGGTGCTCTGTGCTCACTGCTGATTCTGCTGTCGCTCCATCACCTTGCGGAGTTCCGCTGTTTGCTCTGCTATCTGCTGCTGAAATGCTGTGTCGTTGAAGGCCTTGTCCATCCTCTCCTCTCCTGCTACTGCGGTCATCCACAGCACTTGCTCTTGCATGTGTTGAATCTGTGTATGATGAAGCTGTTGCTGCCTCATCATTGCCTCCTGGTGTTGTGTGATCGCTTCTGTGCTCACTTCCTTTGCCATCTCCTGTGTTGCTTGCACTTCCTGTTGCATATGTTGCACTTGTGTTTCCTTGGCCTTCAGCTCCTCTCGCAGCCTCCTCACTTCCTGTGCTGCTTCCTGCGATCCTCTGGCTTGCTCCTGTGTGTGTTGCTTTGGCATGGGTGGCATCTGGCTCCTCAAGATGCTCACCTCGAGTGGATCCCACATAAACAGGCTGCACACCTGTCGTGGGCACTTGTAAAAGTGTCTGCCCCTGGTGGGGCCCTCCTTCTTCACCGTCAGCCTGCTGGCTGGAAGTTGACGGTGGCATCTGATCTCCTCTGGGATGTTGGCCATCATGTCTGATGATGGCGTCATGGGGCATGGGCTGCTGATGTTTGTTGCTTGGCTTAGGCTCCGTGGCGGTGTGCATGGTGCTTGCTTCTCCTTGTGTTTGATGCTCTTCGGCACCGTGGATGCCACTTTCCATCTTGCGTGGCACTCTTGACACCACACCTCCTTCTGAACTCCATTCCCTGCACCTGCCAGAGACATCTTCGGGTGTGTGCATCTCTCCGCATCGGCCGTGGGTTTCTTGGCACATTTGCGCAGGCCAAGGAACAGGCCGTTCTGTATCTGAGCAGCGTACTTGTCGTGCTTGTCCATAGGCACTTGTGAGCTCATGTAGTGGAATTGCTCCATGAATGGACGTTCCTCCGCTTCTGGGAATGGTGACTGCCATGATCCAGCAGCATATCCACCTTGCTGCCAGACTGCCTCCTCTCCTGCTTGATCTTCTTGTCTGTGCATTTGCTTGACCATTTTGCTTCCCACCAGCTTCCAGTTGAGAAGCGCTCGTTCTGGGTCTGAGTGCATCATTGCCTCGTCCTCCGAGCTGGGCACCGGAACATGATGCCATTGCGAAGACATTCTGAGCAGGATTCGAATTGGACTGGTTGGGGTCGTTGTTGGACTTGATCCCGATCATGGCTGCATGAGGATCATCGCATTCTCGAAACTCATGGTCTTTGAGGCCTGCTGCTTTGGCCTCATCTGGAAGACTCCAACCTTGTGAACCAAAGTCCATAACTGACGTGGTGGCATGTCCTGAAGGCATTACTTCCATAGAAACTTGAACCCCAAACTTGTTGAGACACATCTTGTTGTTGAAAAGGTCTATCTGAGCTCCTAATTCTCTCAAAAGTTTCACTGGCAGAAGTAGCGGGACGTTTTCTCTAACCACTGTGCATTCCAAAACTCCACATATTCCGCCAATCCCAAGTGGAACTTCTGCTACTCCGACAACTTGTGCTTCACCTCCAACACCTCGTGCCTGTGCTTTTCGATCCCTCCATGCGACTTTGAGTCCATGTTCATGTAGTGCTACTTGCAAACGATTCAGAGCTTCTTCTCCTATGAGCCCTGACTGTGCTGCCGTGTCTACCACTCCTAGCTCTGGTTGAGTTGCAATGCCACAAAACTGTTTCTCCTGAACCTCTACCACCTTCTCTGCTTTCCTCAGAAAACGCCCTAAGGTGATGACTGCATTGCCATGCCCTTCCCAAAGCACTGACGCTCCCTTTTCCACGCTCGCACTGAAAAATCCGGACTTGCCAGACATGGTGCTTGCTCCTGAGCTGGCTGCTCTGTTCTTTGCGTATGTGTCTGGCTGACCCTGACACTCCTTGGCCCAGTGACCTACTTGGCCACAGCGCGCACATTTGGTGCGCAACTTCAACATGTCTACATGTATTCTCCTCGCCCCTGCATCTGAGCGATTCTTGAAAGGTCCTGGAAACCTTCTGGTGTCCTTGCCCTTGCCCTTTCCCCAGGACTGTCGGTTTGTCCTCTGATCCCTGATCGCCTTTCTGACTTCCTGGTATGTTGCCAACGCATGTTGCAAGTCTTCTTCATCATATATCTCATTCAAATCACCATCCCCGATCCAAACATAATCGGGGTCCTCCTCTTCAAAGCTTCCGAAGGCCTCGTCGGTCTCATAGGCCTCACCACCGCCCTCTTCAGTGATGTAGCTCTTCGACTTCTGATCTCTGGTGACTTTCTCCAGCTTGCGCAACGCCTTGATCACTTTCTCTCGCTCGTACGACCCTGCTGTCCAGGTCGTGACCTGGTCTTCCTGGACTTGTGTCAAGCTAGCATGCCTGAAGACCACATAGCCTTTCACCGTGTCATTCATTTTGACGCCCTCTTCCTCCAGCTCTTTGAAGGCAGCGTCCATGCGTATGACATAGTCTTGGATGCTCTCTTTGCCCTTTCTATGCTCTGCATAGATGGCTCGTTCGAAGGCTCTGGGAAGAGCAGATTCCAGGTAAGGCGCAAAGTGTTCTTTGAGCCTAGCCATGATTCTGCTGGCACCATCCTCGGCAGTGATGTCCGGCACACTGAGCTCGTCGGCAACTGCACGTGCCGTGCCCGTCAACTGCCTCAGCATCTTAACTCCGTGCTTGCTTTTGGGCAGCTCTGTCTCAAACTGCCACAACTCTAGATCCTTCTGATACCTCTTGAACATGAGTGGGTCACCTCCATCAAACGTTGGTGGTAAATCTCTGTCTCTCACGATCGCCGCAGATGCGGCAGCCACTGATGGTGTGCTAGACACCGCGCCGGCCATAGATCCCTCCATCTCTATGGAACCCGGCTCCGGCTACCACTGTGGATAGCACCGGAAACCAAAAAGTTGCACCGCAGCACCCAGCGCCTTCTCGTTTTAGCGCTTGGCTTGTGCCCCGTGGGCTTCGGTAAAAGTGAAGACTGGTGATTGATGCCCAACTGTGTCCAACGCTCATGAACTGCAGTCAAGAGAAAGTGAATGCTCAACATGTTCACATTTGCGAAATACAGTTTTTCATACATATGCTGGGCGGACTGGAATTTTCCCGCCATACATACAATGCAATGCAATGTGTGCCAGGTGGCCTGGAATTTTCCCACCTGACGAACTCAATTTTTCGTACAACAGGTAGGCTGGAATTTTCCGACCTGACGGATGCAAGGTGCTGAAGGAAGACTGGAAGTTGCCTGCCACATGAAGCAATGACCGCTGGTGAAACAATAGCCAGTTTTTGGCCAAAACAACTTCCCCTATGTGAATTTGGTGTTGACGCTACATGCTGGGATGACACACACACACAAATCGAGAAGCCACTGCCCAGGTCAGTTCATTACATTCTTGAATGGCCGATGCTACTTGGATCAAATCGCCCTAAAGGGCCCTTGAGCCTCGCCCGTGCGAACACAAATGCCTGGACTTAGCGTGCTGGCCTGTAGAAACCCCAAAGGATCATTTGACTTAGAGTGCAGCTGACCAGAACTCTTAAGTGAGTTCTTCAGAAAAACAATATTACACATATACATAAATGTCAATCAAATGTTTATCCGATTTGCACCTGAGGCATTGAGCAAGTGTGATGCTATCTGTGTGGAGTTGTCTGCGGCTTTGCCACTTCAGCTGCGTAAATGAGAGTGGCGATGTGTTGCAAATCATGCGTGCCTTGAACGCCTACATTTGACATCATACGATTGTGAATAACTTTGATGCGTATTCACGCATTATGTATCACGGGATGCATGATTTCATGATGCGTACTTCATGATGTGGATGTGCCTTCGACTTCCGGCATTCTTAAACATGCACATGATTGCGCATGAAAACATTACTTTCCTTTCCGGGCCGGGGCCAGAAACAAGAAAACTAGATGAAAGAGCTGAATGGATGGATTTCATGCCGAAATCTTGCTTGCACAGCTTAGCATACACAGCAAACTACGGCAGCTGTTGAGCAAGAACTGGTGCTATCAAACCTTATCAAACATGATCCAACATATTATACACATCAAATGATCAACGCAACAATATATGCAAATATATTTATATTTACTAAAAAATACTAATATTACTAATACTAATATAAATAAATACATAAATAAATAAGAAATATACGTATATCTATCTATCAGTAAATTACTTACATATACGACATTACATTACCTTACAATTTACTTACGCTGTAACTGTAACGTCTCTGATCACTGGTGTCACACCTGTCAAATGCTCTTGTTCTCGTCACTGGGTGCTGCAGCTGGAGATCCACCAGGGTGGACACGTGGTTCACACTCAAGCTCAAGACCTGCTGCGAACACGCTGTATCGGTGAATTCCAAGTGAAGCCGATGGCAATTTCCATATGGAACGACCGCTTGTTGCATCGTGTGAAAGCGAATTTGTGGATATCGGCCAGAAACAACCACAACTGCACAGAAAGAAGGTTCGAACATGTTTGACACGGCCCTGAGAAACGTCGAACTTTCAGACTCTCCCATTAAATAACGCACATCTTGAGTTCCGGTACATACAAACATCTACAAAATCAAGCGCACGCGCGCAGCTCACAAACACACACGCACACACATACTGCTGAGAGTAATTACTTGCTCTGCGCTGGATCTTGATAATGGTGGCAACGTCGACGTTTTAATGTCTCCTAGGTGAACGTCCTGACATGGCAAAGTCTAAAGCACAATTATGCAGAACCACGGACTGGGACAGCTTGTTCAACAGCTCAAACTGAAATTACGCAGGTACAGAGGTGGTTGGCCTCTCCCTCACAACAATGGCAATAGCTTCGTTGTGTGCAGTCTGCCAAAGGTGCTGCACGCCCCTGCTGAATGTGTCAAAGTAGTCGTTGACTCTGATTTAGTAATTCTTGCCCGCATGACAATTAGTGGGTTTCACACATACAAACCCTTATGGTAAGGACAAAAGTGTGATATGTGCACCTGTTTTTTTCCCTCGGTCACACTGCATCACGATAGAATTCAAAAGCTTGGAATTTTCGAAGTGAGGATGATGTGAACGAACCAATTTTGAAACCTGTTCCCTAATGTCAAAGTTCAAATGTTTCAATTTCATCAGACAAGAATGTCAAGAGAGTCTGTGAAATCTGTAGTGAGGAAGGCCAAACGTTGGCTAGGAGAAGTCGAATCCGAGCTAAGATGCCGGGTGTTGTTTGGGGCTTCACACACAGACACAAGCGGGGGGAAGGGAAAGAGGGAGGGAACAAGGACAGCCGGCCACAACCAGCAACGGGGAAATAAGAGGAAAGACAACGAAGGCAGGAAACGGGCAAGGGAGCACACAACAAGCAGGCAGAACAAAGGAAGGAAAACTTTAGAGGGGGGACGAGAAAGCACACAGTAACCTAACCCCGGCACGCAGAAGAGCAAACAGCGCAAGGCAGAACAGGCAACAAAGCAAAGCACAGCAGCGAGACAACTGAAGAAGGACCAAAGGCAAGGGGCAAACGCACTCCCGAGGCAGCAGCAAAGGGAGAGATAGGGTATGGGGAGAGAAGGGGGGAGAGGAGGAAGGGGTGAAGAGGGGCCCTAGCGTCTACTTCAAGATCAGCTAAGGCGTCTTCCCCAATGACAGCACTCTTTTACCTTCAGCCTGTTGCCGGTCAGTGCTTGTCTACAGGGTTACTCTATATACCTCTTGAGCCTTGAAGGGCGCATATAAATGTGCTCAATACTCATGCATGTACCTATGTAGGTATTAGGTTGAAACAAAAACACAGGCACAAATTCAAAAGCAATGAGTAGAGCACTACGCCTTGCCGTACCCAATTGGTATTAAGAGTATCTTCCTGACTTCTCTACACAATGGCAAATAGCAAAAGAAACCGGAGTTACGCAGTGGCTTCGAATTGAAAAACACGTGAAAGCAGCGAATGTCCTAAGGACATGTCGAAAAGAACAGCGGATTCGCTAATTTTTCCAGTAGTGACCAATGGTGCTTCGCGCACGGTCTCTCCACAGGCAAAATGCCTCGCTCTACCGGTGAAAGTTCGAATTGAAAAGTTCGGGTTCGCAAGATTCAGAAATTCAGGTCATACGAAACAATTGACCAAATCACGAAATAAACGGAAATAGCGGATCTCCAAAGTTGCTCATTCAAGCAAACAATGGACTGAAATCGAAGTTGGTAAATTTTTGAAGTTCGCTCCATTCGGAGTGGTCTGCTCGCCAGATGATTCATGGAGATAAATGTATATAGTATCTCTATTTACAAGAGTCTCTATTTTACATTAAATTGAAGTTCAGACACTTGTGGCATTATCTCTATCTAAAAGAGTATATGCCATTTGTGTGAAATAAGTTCGACGCACAGAAAAACTGTACACGGCTTCTCATGCTGTGTTATCTTCATTTAAAGAAGTGTACACTCACTCATCGCCACTCACTTGATCTCCATGGTCTGGACGCTGAAGATGAGGATCCACCCCACTCTGTGTTGCCCTGATACGTCGATGCTTGATCTTCATATGCCTTTCTCTCTTTCTCCTTCTGTCTTTCCTTTCTTGAATCAGCATACTGCTTCTTCTTGTAGGCCTGTTTGTAATGATGTCGTTCATTCCATGACATATCAGAAGGATCAAGATGGATAAGAATTGGATTATGAGCATCGCGATCATTTGGAGCAACCATGAAGATGTTGTGATCACCATGTAAGCAAGTTTCATTTACCTTGAAGTAAAATTCACCCACATAGTTCATGTGATCTTCATCCTCAAAGTCTTCTGGGTGTTCCTCACACATCAAACGTGAATGACCCCACTCAACAACTGTTAACATACAACAATCACCTTTACCAGTTGTCTTCTTCATGATCTCGTCGGTGTATGTTGCTGTTGTAATGCCATCCAAGTGCGTTGCAAGAAAATCCAAGTCACGATAACTGCAAGAAATGAAATGCTTGACCCTGATTGGAGGGCAAGGTGGATCAAAATTCTTGCGCATGGCTTGTGTTGCAACACCTACCATTCTGTTAATCCAGAATTGGATAAGGCTGTGTTGATATGTAGGGACACCTGGAGATTTTGGTGTGCTGTAATAGCATGCCTTGTTTCCATCACCTGCGATGAAGTCAACTTGATATCTGGCACACTCAAAAGCCATAACAGCTAAGCACTCACCAACAATCCCAGCAGAGTCTGATGCATACTTCTGTCCGACGTGATAAACGCACACACGTGTCATTCTCATCCTAGCGCTTGTCAAGTCAACAATCTCATCTGTATCTCGATCCTTTGTCTTTCCCCAAGATACTTCAAAGATTGCCCATGAGACTTGTCGAACTCGTGTGTCGTTGTCATCTGTGTGATATCCAGCAATTTGCTTGATATAGCCATCCTTTCCAAGGCGAGCGGCCACCATCAAGTCATGATAGTCATTGAAGCAAGTTTTGAAGTCCACCTCGTTGAGTCTTTCTCTGTGAGGATACAACGAACCAGCCTCGCAATTCATGAAAAGATGTCCTCCAAAGTTCTTGATGACATTGATGAAGTAATTGTTGAACTGTGATTTGGTTTCAAATTTTTCATGATCCTCATCGATAGTGTAGTCAATGTGTGGAATGAATTGTTGAAATCTTTCTGGAACCGGGCATTTTTCAAATCTGTTTCTGCACCAGTTTCCCAAATTCCAAAACATTGCTGTTATCTGTGGAGAGGATCTGTATGGAAATTCAGCATCCTTGTACGTTGGATCTGATAGGCCTCCACCTAAATACCTGTAAGCTAAGCTATGCAAAATCATACAGTAAGGCAAGACCTTGTGTTCTTCAACGT